CCGCTGCAGCATGATACCATGGTCGATGGTATCAAAAGCCGCTGAGAGATCTAATAGGACTAGGACAGAGGAGCAACCCCTGTCCCGAGCCCTCCAGAGATCATCCACCAACGCGACCAATGCCGTTTCTGTGCTGTGCCCCTGCCTGAAGCCCGACTGGTATGGGTCTAGATAGATAGCTTCATCCAGGTGCCTGGGCAGTTGTCGTGCCACCACACTCTCAACAACCTTCACCACAAAATGAAGGTTGGAGACCGGACGGTAGTTAGCTAATTCAGCCGGGTCCAGGGAAGGCTTCTTGAGGAGGGGCCTCACCACTGCCTCTTTCAAGGCAGCGGGAAAGGCACCCTCACTCAGAGAAGCAGTTATAATCCCCTGGAGCCAGCCTTGTGTAACCTCCCGGGAGGCCAGTACCAACCAGGAGGGACACGGGTCCAATAAACATGTGGCGGCACTAATCCTACCCAGAACCCTGTCCACATCCTCGGGAGCCACAGGATCAAACTCAGGTAAAGATAAAGGTTCCCCTCGCACATATGTGCTAGTCATTCCCGACTCTAGGGTGCAGTGCTCAGCTCCGTTTCAAAGCTGAAGAGCCAGCGCTGTCCAAAGACGTCTCCGTGGTCATGTGGCCGGCATGACTAAATGCCAAAGGCATACAGAACACTGTTACCTTCTCACCAAAGGTGGTCCCTATTTTTCTACTTGCATTTTTTATGTGCTTTCAAACTGCCAAGTTTGCAGAAGCTGGGACAAGTAACGGGAGCTCACCCTGTTACGCGGCAGTAGGGATTCAAACTGCTGAACTGCCGACCTTTTGATTGGCAAGCTCAGCGTCTTAGCCACTGAGCCAGCACGTCCCTTTGTATGCATTACATGAACTTATATTAATCATGATAATATAAAGCTGTACTTGCTCTCAAGATAAATTGGATTACTATCTCATCTCATACTATCTCATAATATCTCTATGAGGCAAGGTAGGATATATTCCAACGCCTAGTAGCAGGGTCAGTGGTGGGTTGCCTCCGGTTTGCATCGGTTCTATAGAAACTGGCAGGAGGCTCCGCCCACTGACCCTGACATCATCAAAATGCTTCTGCGCATGTGCAGAAGCTTCTGCATTTGTGCAGAAGAGTGCCGTACTGGTAGTAAAGGTAAGTAGAACCTCCCCTGAACAGGGTATAAGATACAGGCAGGAACAGCAAATACTGAATGGCACAACCAAGAAGCTTGCACTGTGTACAGAAAATTTTGCATAGAATATGGGCTAGACTGACCTACATATGGAATTATGTGGTCTTAAAAAGCTAAGGACCCCTTCAGGGGGCCTGAAATTGTTCATTTGAACAATTTCAGGTCCCCTTTTTAAGAAGTATATTGGAAACCGACAAGAACACGTCAACCCCTGTGGTCAAACAGAAACAGGTATCTACTTCATACAGAGCCAATCAATAATTAAGTGTAATTATGTCATCTGCCATATCATGAGAGGCTCTGTATAGGTCCGTGATGGTGGCACATGTAGCCATATCGGTGGGCACATGAGCTCAGCTGGCCAGCTGATTTTCAGGCCTTCTGGGCCCACCACAAGTAGGGAAACAGACTGCTTCCTGCCTCCGGAGGGCCTCACGGGGCCGGGAAAAGCCCATTTTTCTCTCTCCAAACTTTCTAGAAGTTTGGGGAGGGTGAAAACGGCCTTCCCCACCGACCGGGAGGCCAAAAACAGCCCATTTGTCAACTTCCAGTCCCACCAGAAGTTCGCAAATGGGCCATTTTCTGCCTCCAGAGGGCCTCTGGTTGGGGGTTGGGATGGCCATTTTCACGCTCCCCAGACTCTTAGAAAGGCTCTGGAGCCTGGGAAGAGAAAAAATGGGGCCACAGGGCCACTGCGTGCCAGGAGTGGGGGGAGCGGGGGGGTCGTGCACACATGCACGGGATGGGGCACATAGAATTATGGGTATTGGCATGCGCACGCACAACACCCCCCCGCTCCCCCCACTCCTGGCACGCGATGACAATAAGGTTAGCCATTACTGCTCCTGCCATCAATAATATTATTTATTTATTTGTTTTAATTTGTATACCGCCCTTCTCCAGCAGGACTCAGGGTGATGAACAGCCAGAATAAAACAGAACATACAAAATTTAAAAACAGTTTAAAAATAATTAAATATTGCTTGTGTTCTGTTTGATTATTAATTCTATGCACTCTGAGGCTTTGACATTAACATCTCTATTTGAAAGAACTGCACATGGTGTCCTGAATGTCAGGCTTCCCTACTTCCTCCTGGGCTTTAAGGTACACAGCGTAAAGAGAAGGGCTAAGTTTATAGACCAGGACCTTTAGCTAAGAAGATGTTATATCAAACAGAACTAGGCAACAGATAATGTAATTATTGGAATCGGTTCTTTTTATTTACCACTTATGTATTTCATTATTGTGATTTCATCATTTTTCCTAAAATAGGTATTGTCAGTGGAGAACATACCATCCCTGTTCCTCTCATGGGACATGTTCATGAAACGAGTGCCAGTCCTAGTCCCACTATTAGTAATCATGGGGATAGGAACTGCAGTTGAAACAGGTGTAGGCGGAATGACACACCCAGTAATACAGTTTCGGCAATTATCAGAGGAGCTCCAAGAAAGCCTGAACCAAATTTCTGGGACTTTGGTAGAGGTCCAAGACCAGATAGATTCTTTGGCAGCAGTGGTCCTACAAAATCGACGTGCCATAGACCTCCTAACAGCAGAGAAAGGTGGTTTATGTGTATTTCTGGGAGAAGACTGTTGTTTCTATATGAATAAATCAGGTGTGGTCAGAGAAGTTGCCAGGGAATTGCAGGATAGGGCATCCAAGATAGGTCAGAGGTTACAAACAACGGACATGTGGTTTTCTTGGGTGCCTGGATCTGGGTGGATTAAACAAATGTTATTCTTGTTGATATGTGCTGTGGCAGGCCTAGCTTTTATTCCTTGTTCAATCCCTGTGCTGAAACAGCTATCTATCAGAGCAGAAAAAGAGATACAGACTGAGAAGGAGTTAGTTTTGACAGAGTGCTTTCTTGAAAATAAAGACTCTGAAACAGACACATATGTAGAAATGGAGTCTGGGAAGGAATGGAGGGAGTACCTCCAAGGATTAAGAGAGTGAAGATCAAGAAATACCTATCTCTTGCCTAGATTAGTCATATTTTGTTAGATATTATATGTTAGCTTTGTTTATCCAAAGGAATGGAATGATATTTACTAAAGAGTTGAACATGTAGGGAGTGGTTGAAGTTTCTGCATTGAAGAAACTTCCAAAGGGGGGAATAATGTGAATAAAGTAGGAATCATACAGGGTCAGCTACATGAACACTAAAGGACCCTCTCTATTCACATTATTATATGGTGCTGTCAGCCAAACAATGCCGACTGGCGGCCCCCAGGGGGAGAGCCTTCTCTGTGGGGGCACCTACTATCTGGAACGAGCTCCCCCCAGAGATACGGAGGATCCCGGATCTGCGCACCTTCTGCCGCGCCTTAAAGACCTTACTATTTCACCAGGCCGGCCTGGCCTAATTTTCCCCCTCTTTTATAAAAGATTTTTAAAATTTTAAATATCTTTTAGTATTTTATATATTCAATTTTAAATTGGTTTTAAAAGTTTGGGGTTTTAAATTTGTCAGGGCCAAAATTATTTAATTTGATTTTATTCTATTTTTTAAATTTTGTATTGTATGTGTTTTTATTGTTTGGCTGTGCACCGCCCTGAGTCCTTCGGGAGTAGGGCGGTATAGAAATCTAATAAAATAAATAAATAAATAAATAAATAAATAAATAAATTATTATAAGGGAGAAATGTGCTTGTTTGGAGATTACATTAAAAATCAGCTAAAATCCCATTATTGGTAATATATCTCCTGATGAGGCCTAGCTGTCACAGAAGGACAGCCATATGGAAAACATCTGAGGGGCCTCACTGTCAAAGACACAAAGACATGTATGTTACAAAGAGTTACTTATTGCCTAAGGACAGCAATAAGTCTCCCGTATTAGTAATTACAGAACTAAGGAAGGTTGTCTAGCTAAAGATAATCTTATAAACTAGAAAATAATGGTTTAGTAATTAGGAAGTGTCAATTATCATATAACAAGTGTATGTTAACCATATATGGAAAAATGCATGAGCTCACCGAATCCTTTGTCTTGGATATCTATAAAAACCGTTGTATCAGAACTCTTCCTTTGTTCAGAATTTCAGGTACAAATCTGGCTCTGAACCTGTGCAATAAACTGTATCTGGCTGACCCAGGAATGTTTTTCAGTCTTTCATTCCATAACACATGGAGTCCTGAATGTCAGGCTTCCCTACTTCCTCCTGGGCTTTAAGATACACAGCGTAAAGAGAAGTGCTAAGTTTATGGACCAGAATGTTCAGCTAAGAATATGTTATATCAAACAGAATCGGGCAACAGGTAATGTAATTATTGGAATCGGTTCTTTTTATTTACCACTTATGTATTTCATTATTGTATTTTCTTTTACACATCTTATTTTGTAATTAAATCACACACTTTTACCTTTATTTTATTTTTTATTTGATATTGCTGTGGAGACTAACCAATTAATCAATTACATTAAGATTACATTAATTAATTACATTAACAAATACATTAAGATCGAAATACCCAGAATCAACCAGGGACAAGCCAAATGGGAGGTAATAGATACAGATAGGCATCAGCAATAAGGACAGCAAATTTTATACCAATATAGTTCCACTACTAACTAAAGGCAATAGAGAAAAGGCCTTAGCCATATGAGGAAATCTCATGCTGGGACTTGGCAAATTGTATATTTAAAAAGTGTATATAGGAAGTAGCTGGACAATGTCAAAACTTTAGTGCATCTGGCCTCATTTGGGGAATCAAAATACAAAAGATAGTAAGAATTTCAGAGAGATATACTGTTAACTGTTTTCTACAGTTTCTATTATATTTAATAATAGCTTAGAATTTAATGTTGCTTTGTTCTATGATCTCTTCAAAGTTGAGAATTAAACATTAAACATTACAAGGTTACATACAGACCCTTCTTGGAAGGTCATCTCTGATTCAAACCATTTGAAGGCACGTATCACACATTATTTTCCTCCACTGAGCTGGAAATAGGGTCGGGATCCTCCTGCATATCCCAGCAGAACCTGAAGGGCAGCTTTTCCATCCTCTCCTTAAAGACACGGTCAAATCTTTCACTCTGGGCAACAGTCATGTGGTTCTTCCAGTCCCCAACAATGCCTGGAAAGCAGTGGTTAAAAAAATGTCAACAGTATTTCTGTTCAATTAAACTAGAGGCTATTTGTGTCCTCCTATCACCAAAATGAATGGGTGTCCATGTAGGAATGTATCTTTGTATGTATGTGTATGTACACACACCCAATCTCTCTCTCTCTCTCTCTCTCTCTCTCTCTCTCTCTCTCTCTCTCTCTCTCTCTCTCTCTCTCTCTCTCTCTCTCTCTCTCTCTCTCTCTCTCTCTCTCTCTCTCTCTCTCTCTCTCTCTGGGGTGGGTTCTAAAATATTTTACTACCGGTTCTGTGGGCATGGCTGATTTTGTGGGCATGGCTTGTGGGGGTAGTGTGACTGGGTGGGCATGGCCGACTTTTTTTTTTAACTTTTAAAAGCATTATTTTTTACAACCTAAAGAGGTTGCAGAAAAAAATGCTTTTAGAAGCCTCTGACGATCAGGCAAGTCAGCTGGGATCCCCAGAGGCTTTTAAAGGCATTTTTTTTCCTACAACTTCTTCGGCTGAAGAGGTTGCAGAAAAAAATGCAAAAAACATCCATAGATACACTCACAAGACATTTAATCGTCCGCCCTTCTTTCACCCCCCTCTACGTACCCAGCACCCTATTACAGCCGCCCCCTCTGGGTCCTGGCAAGGCAGCCAGCAAAGCCTCTCCCGCTGATTCTTCCTCCTCCTCCTCCTCCTCCTCCTCCTCCTCCTCCTCCTCCTCTGACGGGGAAGCCCTGCTGAGGGGAAAGCGAGCTACTCTAGCCTGCCCATCAGTTCCTTCTCCTTCCTCCCCTCAGTTCACCCGGCTCCATCAAAGCAGCGCCGGAGATGCCAGCCCGGCTTTTAACTGGTGCCCTGAGTTTGCACACTGAAAGGAGGCTCACTTAGTCCCTGGTGGGCGTCAAATGAAAACCCCAGCTGGCCTCCCCTCCCAAGCTCCGCAGCCACAAAGACTGAGGTGCTTGTCTGGGGCTGGCGGCGGCGCCTGTGGAAGCCGAGGGGTGTCAAGGCGTCGAGGCGAACCCTCACATCTATGCCCTTCATGGTGCTCTTTCTGTCAGCTGCCCTTCTCCCGACCTTAACAACCCCTTGAAGAGAAGCTCGGTGCGTCTTCCTCAGTTGTGACCGAGGGAGCGGGATGGGAAGTCCCTGCGCCTTGCGAGAGCGGAGCAGTCCCTGGTTTTAGGAAGAAGAAAGGCGCTAAGTGGGGCCAGGGATAGGCACGTCCTCGGCTCCTCCGTGGACACTTTTGTCAGCCAATCAGGCCTCCTTCCTTCCATCCCTCACCCGGGGATCTGCCGGGTCCCGTGCCTCCCATGCCGGCTGAGCGAAGCTAAAGATAGCCCAGGCATCTGGAGGAAGGGAGGGAGGGAAGCCCTGGCCTACTGCTGCTCCTGCTGCTGCCACCTTCTTGCCCCCAGCAAGAGCAGTTCTTCTGCTGCCACTTTTCTGGCAGCACCAGGAGCGACTGTGAGGCAGAGAGGGCGGGGCAGGCTTTGGTGGCAGGCAGTTCTCGCCGGGAAACAGACAGGCTGCTCCTGGAGAAGGAGAAGCTGCCAGCGGGGAGGCAAGCCATCCCAGGAGGACCAGAGAAGAGCACAGCTTCTCACTCATGGAGATCTACTGGTGGGGAAATGGGTGTGGTAAGAGGTGTGCTGGCCAGGAAGCAGTTATGCTCCATGGCTGGAGAGGGTTGCACAAACGTTTGCTGGAGTGAACATGCAACCCTCTCCTGCCAGGGAGCATGGCCGCTTCCTGGCTTGTGCATTTCTTACTGCTTTCCGCGACCACTTCCCCGCAGGTGGATCTCCATGAGTGAGGAGCTGCGCTCTCCTCCAGTCCTCCTGGGGCAGCTCGCCTCCCCGCTGGCAGCTTCTCCTTCTCCAGGAGCAGCCTGTCTGTTACCTGGCGAGAACGGCCTGCCACCACAGCCTTCCCCCGCCCTGTCTGCCTGGCAGTTGCTCCTGGTGCTGCCGGAGAAGTGGCAGCACGAGAACCGCTCTTGCTGGGGGCAAGGAGGTGGCGGCGGCAGGAGCAGCATGCCAGGGCTTCCCTCCCTCCCTCTCTCTCTCCATAGCCTGGGGCTATGCCAGAAGTCTGGTCGGGTGGGGAGACAAGGAAGCCATGGACAGCCCATCCTTGCCACACCACCCCCTCACCCTTGGCGGCAGCGGTTCTTGCACAGGACTGCCGGCAGGGGAGAGGGGATGGGGGCACGCTGTGGCAGCAGACAGTTCGAGCTGGCTTAGAGGTAACGTTCCTCCTCCTGCCAGCCTCAAGCTCAGCTCCGGGCAGCGTCCAGCCAGCCAAACCTGGCTTCACCCTGCGGCAGCCTACGTGGATCCCAGGCAGCACAACTTCGGGGCCTTTCCTCATGGTGGCGGTGATGCAGGCAGGCAGCCGGGTGCACGGGAGTGACTGGTGGCAGCACTCCTGGCTGGCAAAGGGCGGAGTCCCGGGGCTGCATGCGGGCAATGACAGTGGGAGGGGTAAGCGAGCGGTGACTGCGCCGGGAACCGGTTCGGGGGCATGGCCAGCCAATGTTATTACCAGTTCTCTGAGCTACTAAAATTTTCTAGATGTGGTTTCTAGTCTCCAACTACCATGCCTGCTATGGTAATTGACTAGGTGGCTTAGTGGCTAAGACGCTGAGCTTGTCAATTGGAAAGGTCGGCAGTTCGAATCCCTAGTACAGGTCTCCTGCATGAGGAGGGGTTTGGACTAGATGACCTCCAAGGTCCATATCAACTCTGTTATTGTTATGACTGTTATAACTGTTATGAGTTTCTCAGAGTCTGAGAAACAGGATAATAATTTGCAAAACCTGGAACATTACACATTCCTCTGATATCAGAGGAATGTTTAGCTACCTCCCTGTCCATCAAACAGTATATACAAATCTGTATTTCTAATTTTTGGGAAAGAAGCTGATCCCCTTACCATTTTAACTAGAGTTGGACTACAGAGTGAAGGCTTGATAGAAGGGTAAAGATCTCTCGAACTAGAAGGGGTCAAGTGATTTCTCTAGCATAAGTATCTTGTTCTGGGAAGTCAGGGAACCAATGGTCTGCCAGTGAAGTTCTAAATGATCTGGTGGAACCGGCCCCGTGATTAATTGAAATGATTGATAGGTTTGGGTTTTTTTTTAGCATTGGCTATGTCCCTGCAGGCTTAAAGGAGGCAGCTCTAAGACTGGAAGACAGTGCCCAGTTAGAGAGCAAAGAAGATGTGTCTCCAACAGGCTAAAGTGGCCAGTATAAGATAGAACAATCTCACTCCTAAAGGATCATTAGACTGTGCAAGCAACAGACTAGACTATTAATTTTAATAGTCAGATAATATCCATGGCAAAAAAACCTCTGTCAGGATAAAAAGGAGTCCACCAATTTAACACTGGTGCAGCTAAGAAAGCCTTATGGCTGAACATCCTGAAGAGACAGCAGAAAGAGAAGTTGTTAGAAAATGTACATACCACTCTACAAAAAGTAACTTTTAGTTGAAGGTGGCAATCCTGGCATATTCATAAGCATACCCCTAGAGTATACATTTCTATGGATTTACCTTTACGAAGAAAGACCCCTTTGCTAGAATCTGCTAAGGTAGGATTCACAGATGCATAGTTTGTTCTAGAATCGGCTTTCATGCTATCAAATGTAGCTTTATCCACCACATCATCCACCTCCTTTTCAGTTAGTTCTCTTCCTAGGAAGTGGCATATTTTCAGTACAGAACTTCTCAGATCCTGCAATTTGATACAGCTTTATATTAGTTCATCCATAACAATGGAGAAAAGAAGGAAAATGTTGCTGATAAATCATTTGTAGTTTTATTTTTTTTAAAATGAACCGTATTCATTAAACACAGAAATCTATCTTTAGAACTGCTGCTAAGGGTTTCCAAGAGACAAGTTGTTGAAAAACTTTTTTGGATCTTAATATTTTGATGATTCAGACTCTTACATCCTTAGCAATCTTGGCTGCAACAGAAGCTGGTCAGTTCTCCAACCAAGCTAAATAAATTTTTTGGTCTCTCTTGAAAATGCACCTGAGTTGAGTCAACCTTCTTTGAGCCAAAAGAGGAGAACATTATTTATTTTATTTTACTTTATTTTACTTTATTTTATTGATTAAATTCATATCCTGCCCATGTCACCAAGTGCTCACAAAAATGCCTTTTATTAATCTTTTTGATACCAAGATGACCACATTCTAGTTTGATGGATTCTTCTCCTTCCTGTTGAAGAGGGGGCTCTTATGCTTCTTCAGAGACCTCACCAGTCCTCCAGGAGTTCACCAAAATAACCAAAGTTCAGTGGTCACCCCAACTACTCCTTGTTGGAATAAGTTATTCTACACATTCCTCCCTTTCTAAAGCCTCCTGTGCTTGATGGTTGTAGTACAGTGGACTAAAGCACTGTTATTAACATCTGCTGCTTGCAATTACTGCAAGTTCAAACCTCACCAGGCTCAAGGTTGACTCAGCCTTCCATCCTTTCAAAGGTAGGTGAAATGAGGACCCAGATTGTGTGGGCAATAAGCTGACTTTGTATAAATATACAAAAGTATGAAGGCTATTGCTTAACGCATTGTAAGGTGCCCTGAGTCTCCGGAGAAGGGCAGCATATAAATTAAAGCAAAAAAATAAAATAAAAATTGCATTATACATTTACACATCTTACCTTTTTCATTTCTTCATAAGAAAGGAAGAGAATATTGAAATCACCCTTATGAGTGTACCAGCCTTCTACATGGTCAAGCCATAAACTATTGGGCACTGATAGGAGAGAAATGAATTTGGCATAAATATGAGTGCAATCTTCAAAGTCATTTGGTTTAATTGTTTAGCTGGGCACTGCAATATTGCTGCTAACAATCCGTCTCAGGGATACATTCTGAATGCTTGAATTTCTTCCATTTATTCTTATGACCCGATGGCCCCACGGATTAAAGCTCAGTTGAGGGGCCACCTTAATAACGCTGAATGCGGAGAGGAGAGAGAAGGAATGGGAGCCGTAACTAATGTGATTACATACTCTCACTTGTTAAGGGGAAAGTTTTGTCAAGATGCTGCTCTATTGTTTTGTTTCTTTTGCTTTTCTTTATTTGGATCTTTGGGCAATCTGAATTAATGTTTTATACATTTGCAAATATCAGACCTACTCCCATTAGCTCTCTTCTGTGTCCAACCCTTAAATGTTCCCCATGTGATTTCATGTGTCTATTTTTTTAGTTTTCTTATATATATTTTTTAAAAATAAGGATAACTCTCTACTTTTTCATTGCACTGCAATGAAAAAGACTAATATAACAATGATAATAATAACAATAACAATGGCAACAATAATAATACTAACCCCTGATTTTAATATATTCCATATATTAAATGGCTCCTCATATTTCTTCTCTCTCTTCCTTAATAAGCTGCCTTCTCTTGCCATTCCCATCCACTTTTGCATCATGAGTTATTTAAGGAATCCTGCATTCTTCTCCACTCATCCATCCCATTATAAACGGTTTGCATATAGTTTATGGAAATAATTGAATGAGGATTGAAAATAACTATTCTTATCTTATTTTAAGGAGGGGAGGTGGATTGTTTGCCGCTTGCAGGAAGTGGATTGAATTCATATCTCTTGTCCAAAAGAAAAACTAACTTGATTGTGATTAGGTTCTTACTTTTGCCAGCCAAAAATGTCTCCAAGTAAGCATCAAACTCTTCTGTTGTTTCCATCATGGTTAAAATTTTGTAAAAATGATAGCTAGAAACAAAGACATCCTTTGGATTTCTAAACACATAAATAATCTGTAGGAAGAAGAAAGTATCTAGTCAAAAATGATCCTCAGGGACTCCAGTTAGAGTGAATACAGCAGGAAAAAAGTGGGATTGGTTGAAAAACCTTGAGGCTTGATGGACCTTAGGGGACTTTCTGGAGGGCAGAATTCCATTTGTACTTTATTTCACAATAGGTTAACCTCCCATGGATAAAAATATATCTACAATCTCTCTCTCTCCCTCCCTCCCACTCCCTCTCCACCTCTCCCACTCCACCTCTCCCCTCTCTCATCTATCTCTATCTATCTATCTATCTATCTATCTATCTATCTATCTATCTATCTATCACAGTTGTCTAGCTGTACATCTTACATGGTGACTTTGAGTGACTTTTAATTATTTATTAATTAAATAAAATACATAAAAACCCTGTGGTGAAATTCAATTTTTTTTACTACTGGTTCTATGGGCATGGCTTGGTGAGCGTGGCATGGGAAGGATACTGCAAAATCTCCATTCCCATCCTACTCTGGGACCAGCTAAAGGTGGTTTTTGCTGGTTCTCCGAACTCCTCAAAATTTCCGCTACCGGTTTTCCAGAACCTGTCGGAATCTGCTGAATTTCACCCCTGATAAAAACTATTAAGAATTTAAATTTAAATTTAAAAAGAAGACAAAAAACAAAGAAACCCAGAATGGCAGCAAAGCATACAGAGAGTACATCAATTAACTCTCATACAATCACCTTAGATGCTACACTTTATCATAGAACCTCGAAGCAAAACCATTTGGAGGATCTTCCAGAAGGCCAGGAAGGTTGGAACCAGCCTCACTTTAGGGGGAATAGGGGAAGGGCAAAAAAGGGTCTGCCTAGGTCATCCCTAAAACTCCCCAGCTGACAGGTTCCCAACATGCCTTTCCTACTGGACTTGATGGAATGGGTAGAGGTAACTGAGGACAGAGGTCCTTCAAATGACCTGTTCCCAATTCCTGAAGGACTTTAAAGGTCATAACTAGGAAATTTGAACCACAAGAAGAATCAAAGAGATAGCCAATGTAGTTTCCAAAGCAGAAGTGCAATGTATACAGTTCTTGGAGAACTTACATTTGCACCCACTGAAGTTTCTGAATACTTTAAGGGCTGTTGTAAAAAACAGCTCCGCATTAAAGCTATTACAGACTCCTGATGCACAGAAAGCATTTGATAATGTTAAATGGGAATTCATTTTAAATCAACTAAAATATATGGAATTTGGGGGAAAATTTATAAGGATGTGCAGAGCAATTTACTTAGAACAAGAAGCAAAAGTGGCAATTAATGAGGAAACAACAAAGGACTTCCAAATCCAGAAAGGTACGAGACAGGACTGTCCACTATCACCCCTACTGTTTATTTTATCATTAGAAGCATTGATTAGAGTAATTCAAGAAGATATCTAAATTAAAGGTTTGAAGATCAGAAATGAAATTTTTAAATTGCAAGCGTTCGCAGACATCTCGTCTTTATTATTGAAGTGCAACTGCAATTGGGCGTACGGCTAATGGAAGTACTGGAGGAATATGGGGAGGTAGCCGGCTTAAAGATAAATAAGGACAAAACAAAAATGTTAGTAAAAAACATGACGAAGGAGCAAAAAAGAGATAGAGAGGGAAAAATTGATATTCAGATAGTTAAAAAAGTTAGATATCTAGGGATTCAATTGACATCAAGATGCGTGCTGCTTAAAGAGAAAAATTATGATAGACTAATTGAGCAAATTAAAATTGATTTAGAAAAATGGGAAGATTGCAACTCTCCTTTATGGGGAGGGTTGCTACGATTAAGATGAACATGCTACCCAAAATTTTATATTTATTTCAATGTATACCAATCCGGCTCAAAAAAGATTTCTTTACAAATTTGAATAGAATCATAGCAAAATTTATATGGCAGGGCAAAAAGCTAAGGATTAAATTGAAATTATAACAAGATGCAAAAGAAAGAGGAGGATTTGGTCTTCCAAATTGGGAAAAATATCGGCAAGCTGCAGCCCTGGTTTAGGTAAGTGATTGGCTACACCTCAAAAATAGAAGACTGTTGACACTAGAAGGACATGAACTTCAAATAGGGTGGCATGCTATCATCTGGGAAGTGAAGTATAAGGTTCACCAGTACTTCCAAAGGCATTATATTAGGAGGGCACTTTTAGATATTTGGATTAAGAAGTAATAGAATATAGAATATGTCTATATAGAAGTAACTATATAGACATCCCCAGTTGGATATGAACAGTAGAAATGCTCAAACATCCTAATCTTCTCAAAACGGGAGGGACTATTACATATAAAGAATTATTAAATGGGAAAGGGGAATTAAAATCAAGGAAGAAGTTAAAGGAAGAAGGAATAGAATTAGAATGGTGGATATACCTACAAATACAATCCAAATTTACAAAGGATAAAAAAGAGTGGGATATAAAATTAGAATCAAAGCTATTACAGTCCTCCATCCAGGAGGGCATGAGAGACTGAGAGTAGCAATTGTAAAAAGGATTTTATGGCTAAAGATAGGATTCCTCAACTTGGCATCCTCCAAATATGTTAAGATAGAAACTGACTATGCCGCACAAAAAGTTCCAATCCATCTGGAAGTGTCATTTTGGAAAAAGTAACATGAAAGATTAAATATCTCTGTATGGATCTTCAGTTCGGTTCCATTTCGGCTAAGCATGAGATTCCGGGTTCCATATTTTATTTGAGTTATTTTTACTCAGCCTGCAAATCACCAAACATAATGGAACAATGTAACATCTCTTCATTTGCATTTATTTCTCAATAGAACATTCAGATGCAGAGGTAAATAAAAAGGAAGAAGAAGACAGACAGCTCCCCATTCCACCCCACAAGTTACCAAAATATGTCCTACCTTTGCTCTTTTATTTTGTAATCCTTTGGGTGCCAAATAGTGGGGCAGATGGGAACAAATGACACGAGGTGATGGGCGACTAGGTAAATCTACATAGTAAACATTATACTCTAGCCATGGTGCCCTGTCAATCAGGGTAATATTTTCAGTTCCATCTCGATGACCTTCATAAAGAATCAAGCTCACAATGTTCTGAGTCCACACTGTGCCTGTAAATGAGAAATAATTAAATTAATTCATCCAGGGCCATCATTATTTGGAGAATGTTCAACACATAAAAAAAACAGAAAAAATCAAGCAATCAGTCTACTTATCGGAGAAGATGGCAAAGGAGAAATGGGGAGTAGAGAGAAAGCAGAACTGCTTAATTCATATTTCACATCTATCTTCATACAAAAAAAGGAAAACACTACTGAAGGAACTGGCAGACATAATTTCAGAACCATTGAAACATATCTTTCAAAGTTCTTGGATCACCAGCAAAATACCTGAGGACTTTAAAAGAGCTGGTGTGGCCCCTATCTTCCAAACAGGGAAAAAAGAAAAACTTATTCAGGAAATTTGAGACCAATCAGCCTGACATCAATACTTGGGAAGATCTTGGAAAAGATAATCAAGCAACAAATCTGTGAACAACCTAGAAGCAAACAGGGTTATAACCAGAAGCCAACATGGCTTCATTGAAAACAGATCATGCCAAATAAATCTTATTTCATTCTTCAACAAAGTGACCAAATTAGTAAATGAGTTAAATGCTGTGAACATAGTGTACTTAGATTTCAATAAAGCATTTTAGAAACTCGATTACAACTTACTTCTTGGCAAGCTAATAAAATGTGGGATAGATAGCCCTACAACTAGGTGGGTTTATAACTGACTGACAAACTGTACTCAACATGTAGTCTTCAACAGAACTACAACCACATGGAGGGAAGTACTCTTCAATATCTTCATAAATGATATAGATGATTTTCCAAAGCATAAAGGACATCATAGAGAAAGGATTTAAGGAGATTATGGAAACAATGGAAAATACTATACAAGAAGAGGTGGGTTTCAGCAGGTTCTGACCATTTTTGGAGTACCAGTAGCGGAAATTTTGAGTAGTTCGGAGAACTGGTAGTAAAAATTCTGACTGGCCCAACCCTCATCTATTCTCTGCCTCTTGAGTCCCAGCTGATCTGGAGAAAATGGGGACTTTGTAATAACCTTTCCCTGGATTGGAGAGGGAATGGAGATTTTACAGTATCCTTCCCCTGCCACACCCACCAAGCCACACCCACCAAACCGTGCCATTGCCCACCAAACCCATAGAACCAGTAGTAAAAAATTTTGAAACCCACGACTGTATACAAGGGATGATGAGTAAAGATGAAGACGCCCAGAAAAGGGAGAACCAGTGACAAAACTGGAAGACAAGGCAGAGATAATAATAAAAATAACAGTGATTGGTGAATTAAATCAAGGAGGAAATATTTTAAGAGAGTTGAAAAGTGAATTGGAGAAAGGGAGATAGGGGCCTGGGCAGATATTTTAGAAGCTAGGCAGTGGAAGAGAATAGAGATTGGAGAAATACTTAGACTGAATATCCAAGAAATAGATGCAAACAGTGATCAAGATCCAAGAGAGGAATATGGGAGGCAAGTCAAAAAAAGCATAGCAACCAAAGTATTGAAGCGGACAAGAGACGATGGATAGAAGGGAAAGAATTTCTCTTTTTTGTTGTTGTTCTGATTTGCTTTTCTTCTTTCTCTCCCTTCTTTTTTAGAATGGTGGCATGATTAGAAGTTAGGTAGGATAGGAAGAAAACGTCATTTAATAAAAGAGTGACAAGTTAGAATAGAGATAGAAATAAGAGAAAGGGGGAATATTAGTGTATACATTTTTACATAATAAAATAAAAGCAATAACAAGAGGGAAGCTTAGAAATTGAATGGCGGTAGTAATATGTATGATTAAATAATATGGTGAGTGGTGTTAGAGCAATATATTAAAACATGGAATAATTAAATAATGATAGACTATAATTTAATATAAATGTGTATTATTATTATTAGAAATATATAAATTGGTTGAATGTAAAACTATGATCAATTTTACCAGTTCTATTTGTATTAGAATGCATGACACCCAGGTACCACATTGTTCATGCATTGATATGTATATGTAAAATAAAATATAAAGCTTGAAAAAAAAATAAAGATCCAAAAAGATCTTGACAGATTTAAATACTGGACCTTATCTAACAAAACGAAATTAAACAGAGGTAAAAGTAAGATATTTCACTTAGGCAAGAAAAACCAACCACATAAGTACAGACTAGGTGAAACATGGCTTAATCCCAGTAACTATGAGAGGGATCTTGGAGTCCTAGAGGAAAATAATTTAAATATGAGTCAACAATGTGTGGCAACAGCAAAATACCAATGCGATCCTAGGCTGCATTAACAGAGGGATAGAATCAAGATCAAGTGAAGTTGTAGTACCACTTTACAAAGCCTTAATACAACCACACTTGGAATACTGCATCCAGTTCTGGTCACCGCAATATAAAAAAGATTGAGAGTTGAATTGAGACTCTGGAAAGAGTGTAGAGAAGAACGGCACACATGATTAGAGGGCTGTAGGCTAAAACATACAAAGAACAGCTACAGGAATTGGGTATGTCTAGCCTAATGAAAAGGAGGACTAGGGGTGACATGATAGCACTGCTCCAATATTTGAGGGACTTCTACAAAGATGAGGGGGTCAAACCATTTTCCAAAGCACCCAAAGGCAAGACAAGAAACAATGGATGGAAACTAATCAAGGAGAGAAGCAACCTAGAACTAAGGAGAAAGTTCCTGACAGTGAGAGCAATCAACCAAAGGAATACCTTGCTTTCAGAAGTTGTGGTGCTCCATTATTTACAGATTTACAGCTTTATTTTACCTGCATTTCATCTTCTATGCCAAGTGTTAAAATCTGTTTATAGCTTGATACAGTTGCAGCAACCAAAGTACTGAAAAACTGAATAAAAGCACTGGATACAAAACCAACTCTTCCTTGGAAGACATCTTTGAATTTACCTGATTTAGGATATGTGATTATAAATGTATCATCATCTCGGATTTCAAAACTTTCCAGTGAATCTATTTTTTCAGGTGAGGACACCACTGGTAGAAAATAACATCCTTTATGTAGATATGGTTCCTTCCCTGATGGCTCCATTGCCTCACCTGTTGATATAATAGAGAAATTGAAAATAGTTCCTGTATTGATAGTCAATGTTGAATTAATTCAATTCTTTCAAAATCCTGATTCTTGGCAACATGATGAAAAACACATTCAATTATTTTATCTAATTATTTAGTTAATTAGTGTCATGAGCTCAATTTTCACCCACGAAGCTTTCCATTGCAAAGAGTAAATTTGCTACTCTTCTTGCCATCTAAAAGTTCTACGTAGAAGACAAAGTTTGAATCACAGTACTAAGAACATACTAGTTGCAATTCTTTTCTTACCTTACTTTGAGTACTACGTACTCTTATATAATGTCTGGCAGGCAGTCACGTCATGCCTAAAAACCAACTTTATTTACAGTACTTTTTCAATGTTTTTCTGTTCCTGATCCTCAAATATTTAAGGAAGACTGGTCTTTAGTCAAACATTGTATCAGCACTGAATCTCCATTTTAAAAAAAGAGCTAAAGAACATGGTAGAACATGATTAAGTAATAACCTAAGTAACAAGAATGGCAGAGATGGAGGAAACCTTCGCTATTTTACTAAGAAAAGCATTACTTGAAAACCATGATAGATGACAGAGGTCTATATCTGTGATGGCACGTGTGCCAGAGGTTGCATGCAGAGCCATCTTTCCCGGCACATGAGCTGTCACCCAATTCACCTGCAGCGGCACATGCGCACATGTCCCAGCTGGTGTTCGGGGCTCCAGTGTGCATGTCTGCAATTCAGGGGACTAAGCTGGTCTTCGGGATGCTCCTGTGCATGCGCGCGCTTTTTCACATGAGCACGAGAGTATTGGCGCACAATGCCTTCATGCATACATGGTTTTTGCGCAGGTGCATTGCACAGGTGAAAACCATGACATGCACAGTTGGTGTGAATGTGCATGTAGGGCATGGGGGAGCTGCGTGAAACTTGTGTGCATGGGCAGATGTTGCGATTGCACGCACAGCGCCCAGTGACGAAGCTGCATGAAAGCCATTTCCATGCGCAGATAGTGTGGTTGCACATGCAGCAGACGGGGGCATGTGTGAAAGCTGTGTGCATGCACAGATGGTGCGGTTCTGTGCACACCACATGGGGGAGTAGCCCATGTTAACGCAGATAGCACATGCACATGCAAAGCGTGTGAAGCACATACCTGTTCGGCACTCGGTGAGTAAAAGGTATGCCACCACTGGTTTACATCTAAGAGGCCCATCTGGGGATGACCATGAGATATAGAAAATTTCCTGGGATTGGATGTGAGCTCCATTTAGTGGTTGGATAGCCCCTCCTGCAAGCTCTCACAAGAGGGGCTGTTGTCATTTTCCTAGTTCTGCAACTTTCCCTGGAGCTGTGGCTGGGTTGTTTTTCTCCTTTTTTCGGTGCTTTGGAAGGGCATTCCTTGACCATGTGCCCAGATTCTCTACAGTAAAAGCAGAGAGCCAAATTTCTGGATCTCTACCTACTTGTGATCAGTCTATGGGAAACTTTGCTGGGTGAAGAGTGAAGGGCTCAAGGCTCCTCTCAAAAAGTCTTTCTGCATCTTCTCACCCTGGCTGTACTTCCTGCTTTGAGAGAGTATCTTGGTGGTAAGAGCCCACTCTATCTTCCAAGAGGCCCCTTGATTCCCTCCTTCCCCTAACAAATGTATGGAGAGAAAAGGCTCTTTCATCCCTGCTAATTTCCTAGATGAAAAAGTCAAAAAGGAAAAAGTGAAATAAACTTCACTTGGAAGCACATGGTGCATTCACAACTTCTGGAGGCAAGCTGTTCCACTGATTAATTGTTCTCACTGTCAGGAAATTTATCCTTAGTTCTACATTGCTTCTCTCCTTGATTACTTTCCACCCATTGCTTCTTGTCCTGCCTTCGGGTGCTTTGGAAAATAGCTTGACCTCCTCTTTTTTGTAGAAGATATTGGAACACTGCTATCATGTCTCCCCTAGTTCTTCTTTTCATCAAACTAGACATACCCAATTCCAGCAACTGCTCTTTATTTGTCTCCTCGAGGACTTTAATGCGGTAGTAGATCCAAATTTGGATTATATACCAGAGAGAGGTAAAGCTGGGAAAAAGAGGAGAAGCTTTTGCCAAAAATTTGTAAACAGATTAGAGAGGTAACAAGGCTGAGAGATATATGGAGGGACAGAAACCCGGGAAAGAAACAGGGTACTTATTTCTCCCCCAGACATCATTCCCGGTCCAGATTAGATATGGCCTGGATGACTGTAGGGTTATGTGACCAGGTATTAGATGTGGCAATTGAGGTTAATGACTGGGCAGACCATAGCCCGTTGAAAGTATTATGGAGAGGAGCCTGCAGAATAAAGAGATGGAAGATGGATGTAGGAGCATTAGAAGATAAAGATCTACTTCAAAAGTTAAAGGAGGAGATGGATTTTTTATTTAAGGTCAATAGGAAGGAAGATACTAGTCCCCAGATTATCTGGGTGAAGGCGGTGATCAGGGGAGTAGTATCATCCCATATAATTGGAAAAGGGAAGACTCAGAGACTGAAACGGAGTAAATTGGTGTGTGAATTGGAGAAAGTGGAAGCGAAGTTGCAGGCGGACCCAGGGGATTTAAAACTAGTTGAGGAGAAGAAAATAACCCAGCACCAGTTAAATTTATTAGACTAGGAAGAATTGGCTACTAAAATTAGATGGGCAAAACAAAGGCACTTTGAACATGCAAATAAAGTGGGAAAATGGCTTACCTATAGATTGAAGAAGCAACAGGAGACAAATAGGATAGTTTGTTGGAGGGACGAAACGGGAAGATGTGTCTCGGATAAGGAAGGGAAAGGAAAAATAATACAAGAATATTTTGCTGCCTTATAAACAGCTGGAGATGAACAGGACCAGGAGATTAGAGAGTATTTAGCTAGAGCTGACTCCCGGAAGGTTCCACTCCCAATGAAAGAAATACTGAATGCAGAGATTACCTTGAAGGAAGTAGAATTAGTATTAAGGGAACAAAAAGGGGGGGGAGACCCCAGGTACGGATGATCTTCCAGTAGAAATTTATAAGACCCTCCTTGAGACTTTGGGGGAATTTTTGACTGAAGTTTTCAATGAGGTTCTGGTTTTTGATCAAATGCCACCCTCCTGGTCCGAAGCGTATATTACATTAATTTCAAAAGAAGGCACTAATCCACTTCTGATTAAAAATTACAGGCCGATCTCCCTGCTTAATGCTGATTACAAATTATTCTCCGCAATTTTAGCGAAGAGACTAAATTTTTTTTTGAATGAGTACATCCACGGTGACCAGAATGGCTTCCTACCTCACAGACAACTGAAAGATAATGTGAGAACTATATTGGACATATTAGAATATTATGAATGTAATTCTGACAAACAGGTGGCCCTGGTCTCCGTGGATGCACAAAAAGCTTTTGATAGAGATAGGAGCCCTGGTAGCGCAGCAGACTAAAGCACTGTTATTAACACCAGCTGCCTGCAATTACTGCAAGTTCAAATCTCACCAGGCTCAAGGTTGACTCAGCCTTCCATCCTTTCTAAGGTAGGTAAAATGAGGACCCAGATTGTGGGGGCAATAAGCTGACTTTGTATAAAATATACAAAAGTATGAAGGCTATTGCTTAATGCATTGTAAGCCGCCCTGAGTCTCCGGAGAAGGGTGGCATATAAATCAAATAAAAAAATTAAAAAAAATTGATAGACTGAGTTGGAACTTTCTCTTTGCACAGTTGAGTGAAATGGAATTCAGGGCAAGATTTATCAGGGCGATCCAGACAGTATAAGCGAAACAGACAGCGAAAATACTTATTAATGGGGAGGAGTCTGAAAAGATTTATATAAGTAAAGGTACTAGACAGGGATGCCCATTATTTCCACTTTTATTTATTTTAACCCTTGAGTCATTATTGAATGAGGTTAGAAGGAACCAAGGAATTAGAGGGCTAAGGATCAGAGGGGAAGAGTTTAAGCTCCAAGCCTTTGCGGACGATTTGATATTTGTTTGGAAGAACCTTTGGAATCGGGACCAATCTTGCTCCAGGAGTTGGAGGCTTACAGGAAAGTAGCAGGATTCAAATTAAATAAAGATAAAACCAAGATCCTAATTAAGAATATGACGAAGAATCAAAAAGTGCAGTTAGAGGAAGAACTAGGGATTCAGATAGTTAAAAAACTGAAATATTTAGGCATTTGGCTTTCATCCAAATGCTCAACCATTAAAGAGGACAATTACCGGAAACTACGTGGTCAAACTAAAGAAATGCTGGAAGGATGGAAAGGATTACTGTTATCATTATTAGGTAGAATTACAGTAGTCAAGACGTATATCTTGCCTAAATGGGTTTTTCTCTTTCAGACAGCTCCAGTGTCAGGTTTCGATGCTATCTCAAAATAAATGAACTTCCAAACTGCCGATCTTTAAGGAAATTTTCTCTTTATTCGAGCACAGCAATCTGATCCTGACTCATCGTGGTCAGTACTGACCTTTGCCCCCCAATCCCTCCCTTTCCAATCCCCAATTCTCTGCTTCTCATTGGCTATCTTCCAAGTCACTTTCCTGATTCCTTTCTTCATCAGGTCACAGGAATGTCTCCCCCCTCCCCATCTCCGAGGAAACCGAATCTTCAAAGGGATTTAGCAGGCAAAAGTTCAGGCTTCTCCTCCCTTTTCTATGTCAGTTCTGAGACGCTGACATCCAGTTTTATTAGATACAATTTTTTTTCAATCTTTAGATCAATGTATATGTAGATTTGTATGGCAGAACAAAAAACCAAGGATTAAATTGAAAATGCTTCAAGAATCCCCTTCCAGGGGAAGATTTGGCCTACCTAAATGGGAGTTTTACCATCAAGCAGCTGTCTTAAATTGGATCAGAGACTGGATTGCTTTGAGGAGGAGGAGAATCCTTATTTTGGAAGGCCACAATTTGCAACAGGGGTGGCATTATTATCTGAGTCAGGAAAGGCCCAAAAAACATAAATATTTTATTGGCCATTTCATCTGAAAGGTTTTGATG